AATTTCCAATTTAGAAAATTCCAAAGATATGAAGAATGAAAAGTGAAAATTCCTATAAAATGCGATATTATTATAGTACACCACAGCACCAGCAGTTGAGTAGTTACAATTTTTTGTTCATTTTTATTACTTCAACGACAGAAACTTTCCTTTGTTCTGTACGAAACGCCAACATATTTTCAATTCATTCAACCACTATCATATTCACAAAACTAAAGACTAAAGTAATTCCATGTTCTTTATATAAGCTCAAAGCAGCACATAAGAGAAAAAAAAAACTTCATTTTCAATAGTGAAAATGAAACAGTTGCCGATGTAAAAGGAGGCAAAGTTGAGATGAAGGAGTGAGCAGGCAACTAACACAATAAAAAAAAAATGTTTCCACCCTACCGCCTCATCAGTGCGAGTTCCTTTTTTCACTTCACACGATATACACAACCGAAAAATGGGGGAAAATGTCTAGTCGAATTGATTTCCCCATTCCGCATAGATTTTTCTTTGGGTTGTCGAGTGGGGTGATTCCAAGCGAGTGGGTGAAAAAAATATTTTCACATTTTCCTTCTCTTTCATGCACATGAAGGCATTCTTGGAGCTTTTTTTTCTTTCAAACCATTCCAGCCGTTTATTTTTGTTTTCATTCCTTACTTGCTGTAAGAAAAAAACCGAAAGGTTCTCGTGAAAATGCAATTTTCTGGTGGTAGTGAATACATCCAAACGAAAAAGTCGGTGGCCGCATAAAACTTTTTTTTCCTTCTTCAAGGGAGGAGAATGGGCTTCATATTATGGCATATTCATGTATACGTTCGTGAGAATGCAGCAGAAGCATCAACAGAAGTAGTAAAAAAATGTAATTTAAGGATGGGTTAATTTAATGATGATAATGTTGGGATGTATCAGCACGACAAGCTTCCTTCGATGCAGCATAAAAAAAAGAATTTTAAAGAAAAATTGTACAGCAGCTGAAAATGAAAACGAGAGTAGAATATGGTTTTTATTATAGCTGAAAAGTAGAGCTGAAGTTCTTCTCATTGCATGTGCATGCTTTTCTATTTTTCCCCAGCAATAAGAAATTGCAATGCTTTCAACATTTTCACACTCGCACGTTCACTTTTCTGCTGGAATTTCTATTTAGTCTTGACTGTTATCAAATGCTTAATTTCTCTTTTTTTATTATACACACTTTTTCTTTGCTTGCACTGCATGCAATCTTTTCATATTTCTTCGTTCTTAATGCTGTTGATGCTTATTACATACGATATCTCTTTCAATCTCTTGTAATATTTCTCGTAACAACTCAATGAATCATTTCTGATTTCTTTGTATTTCTTGCTGTATGTTTAACATGATAATTTATGACTAATTCTCTCGTGTGGTTCGCATTCTTGAAAGATTTATTAGACATTTAATAACGGTCGATTTGAATTTTTGTTACACTTGAAGTTGAATTTGATTTTTTTTTTAAATTGAATTTTTAATAGCCGTTGAATTTTTGCATTTTTTTAAAATTGGTTCATTTAATTTTGAAATTAAGACTTGTAATCAAATAAGCAATAACTTTAATTCAATGAAATCAAATAATTCACACTTTAAGAAGAAAATGTTCTAGCTTTTCCCATATCCACCCCTAATTAATCTAATTAGATCACCATCCTCACTCAAAAAATAATCCACGACACAGAATGGATAGCAGAATACAAGAAAGAAGCGCTTAAACTAATAAAAAGAAAGAGAATCTCCCACATAATGATATTCATTATAAGGAAAGAATCCCCAACATTTTCACATTAGATCCTTATCTCGTGATAAATATCAGAGATATGTATGTACATACATATGTAAGTACGCGGCAAACAAGAGTGTCAATGTACTCGACTAAGGTGATTTATGCCATACGTGTTGATTAAACATGTTATAGCTCTCTACATGAGTTGAATTTTATGTTCGTTGCCAGCTAGAATTTTAAAATTCCATGTTTTTGACAAACTGCTGTTGCTGCTGCTGCCATTGTCGTGTATTGCTTTTAATTAACACCCATGGGATATGAGTGCACCAACAATGAATGAATATTTTGTGTCTCGCTCACTTCATTATTATTATCATCATCATCATCCCCCTTGTCGCTCCATTAGCCACCTACGAAATGCGAATAAACCATCAGACAGAAATGGAAATTATTTTTTCAAAATGCAAATTCATTCAGTTGTGAAATCGAGCTTGGTATATGATGATATTATGACGGTGGCATGACACAATATTCATGTCAGAATTTCTACTTTTTTTTGAATGAGCTATAAATTGTACAATAATTTTGCAATGCCCTAAGTAATGAAAAGCAATAGCTTGTTGATAGTAGGTTTGTATGGGTGGAGCTAGGGGGTCTTGACTCCCTTACGAGGTTTAAATTTGTAAGAAAAATTAGGAATGAATCTGAAACCTCCCCCTTAGAAGCTATTTAAAAATACTAGATACTAGCTTCTAAAAACTAGCTACTAGCTACTAAATACTACTAGCTATTAAATACTACTAGCTACTAAATACTACTACCTACTAAATACTACTAGCTATTAAATACTACTACCTACTAAATACTACTAGTTATTAAATACTACTAGCGACTAAATACTACTAGCTACTAAATACTACTACCTACTAAATACTACTAGCTATTAAATACTACTAGCTACTAAATACTACTAGCTACTAAATACTACTACCTACTAAATACTACTAGCTCCTAGCTTGGAAATACTACTAGCTACTAGCTTGGAAATACTACTAGCTACTAGCCACTAAATACTAGCTCCTAGCTACACCTCTGCATAGTAAATAGAAAAAAAGTAAAATTAATGTGCTCGTTAAATTGAAATCACTAATAGCGGATTAGCATAGTTGAATGAAACAGAAAATATTGTGTATGTACAAAAGTGGAATTTGGCAATAGACAAAAGCAGACATATGAATGAAATAAAACTATTTCCTGAACGCGTACCGACAACTTGTATTTCCGTTATTTCCATTTCATTCCAACTGAACCGTGGCTGAGCTGAGAGCTGTGGCAAGCATGTGTATATGCCGCAAGCTTAAACAATACACGACTACACATCCACAAGTGTATTGAAAAGAATTAAAAAAAAGTTTTATTTCATCATAAAAAAAGTGGATTTACATTCGGAATATTAATAAAAATAAAAATAAAAATTAAGACTTGACTGAAGTGTCATTATTGCCACCCATAAGCAAGTATTGGTGCACAAAATAATAAAAATTTCATTTTTTTTGAATATTCACGAAAAAAAAAATTAAAATTTAAAGAAAAGAAATTTGCAACTGTAAATTCTTTGCCAAAAATGACTCATTTGTGTATGCCTACCTAAATTTCATTTTATTGTCATTTTGGACTTCCAACAAACATTTAAAATTTTTACATACAACCTGCAATTTCCGCAACAATAAAGGTTAAATCAATGACTTTTAGAGGAGAGACGGTGTGAAGTCATATGACGTCGTTCAATAATTCCATGATGATGATGTTGTTGCTGCTTAACGCTGATGATTCTAAATTTAATAAGCAGCAGCACAAAGAAACAACAAAAAAAAGAATTATTTCTGGAATATTTTTTAAAAATAAGAATTTGACTTTTGTTTGTCCACACACGAGACGGCTTGAGAGGAAGGAGAAGAATAAGAAATAGCAATAAATAAATTCCAGAAATTGTGTGGGGATTATTGCGCTTCTAAATTCATTATTCAAGATAAAAGTCAAATAAATTAGCTGATTTGTAAAAAGTGTTATAAAATTGAGTGTAATTTTATGCTTAACATCTTCCGTAATGCTGCAATTTTGTTTATTTCAATGGAAATGTTTCATCATCAATTGTAAATTTTCACTTCTAAGCCTTCTCTTGATGATGTTTTGCAAGCTTCCTCAACACTTTTTTATTTCTTTTAGGTACGGTTTTTTTGTGTGCTGAATTTTAATGGAGTTTGGGGAGATTAAGTGATCAGATTGGGTGTTGATTGGATGAAGATTAAATCTAATAATTTGTAACGGTTTTTTAAAAATTTGATTTTTTTAACGGTTCTCAAAAATTCTTTCACAATTTTCAAAAAAGTCAAAAATCAAAAGTTTTCTCTCAACAATCACTTCCACATCAATCAATATCTCCTTTCAAATACCTTAATCCACCCAACTTACCTTTTTCAACTCGCAAAACTTAAAAAGTAGCAAAAAATTAACATTTTTTCAACATCAATTCAAAGAAATCAAATAAAAAAATTGCTTTGTAATGTTAACATTATGAGTTGGAATTGACGCCAAGCGAATACATCACGTACTGTATCTTACATCAAAATTCTCCTATTGTATTAGCGAAAAAGTAAAAAAAAATAATCTTCAATAAACTACTTACTTACTAAACACAGACACAAATACAACTTAGTAATCCACAAAAGACTTTACCTACATTATTTCTTGCATAATGACTTCTTTCAACAACGTGTGCTACTCTTTAAGCTGCGTATAGCTGTGGCGAAAGTATCCAAAATTAATATGAAGAGAAGTGGAAACAGTCACAACAATGTCTGCAAAAAAAATAATTTTTGTTCCACATTTGCTTCTTTTCATCTCGTTTTGTGCTTTCATCATCAAGCCACTGCCGCTAATCTACCGACAAAATAATTAATAAATGCCATTTTTGAGCATATAACATTTTTCGATCTCTATCGACACTATTTTGTTGGACTTTTATGGATTTTGAAAATTTTTGTGATTGCAAAACTTATTTTTTTTTTTGGGCTACGGCAGTCAATTAATCAAGCAGGATAGCTAGGAACAGGTTTTTTTGCGTGCCAAATTACAGATTTGGCTTTATGTAATTGACGTTCATTGAGGCATTCTTATTACTTTGTTGCGTTGCCAACGTGCATGACATCCACATGCTATAGATATCAATGAGGATGATCAAATTTCATTAATCAAAAAAATCTTATTTTTCTTGCAGATACTGAAATTCCAAGTCAGCTACCAATTTCTCAATCACCAAGCCCGCCACCGCCCCAACAAATTGCACATCAACAAGCCCACAGAATTGTGCAGGAGCTTCAACAACAGCAGCAACAGCAACAACAACAACCACATGGCTTACAGAATGGCCAACAACATCAACATAGACCATTGTTGCATGGACTGCTAAGTGGAACACACATTTCACAATCATATCATCGAGGTTATAGCTCATCAAGTACAGGTATGATGATAAGAAGTAACTTTTAATTAACATTTTTTTTTGTCGTATCCAATTGGCTTCAAGCCGCGTCAGTCGAAAAGTTGAGAAAAAAAGAATCAAAATGACCCTTTACGATAACCTTGCGTTTCTGCTCAAAAATCTTGTTCCTTCTTTCCTATTTTTTTTTTAAATGATTAATGACCATTTCTGCTTCTTATTGTCGTCTTGTTCCTTCCTATCGAGTTGCTACTGACGCTGAATTTCAAATGAAATTTAAACGACAATTTTTGTCGCTTTTGCTTCCGAGAACGGATTCTTTTTTATGTTGAATGGATATGGAAAGGGGTTGACTCTATTGTCCAGTTCCATTAAGAAATCTCGCGCTCAAACAAAGAAAATAGCCTTTAAGGAAGACGGTCTTTCCTGGTCAACATTTCATTCAAGTTTTTTATTTATTTTTATTAGCACAACAGGACTGTCAATTCCTTTATGTCTACTTTGAGTTCCTGCTTTTCTTCTTTCCAACATTCTATTCTATGTAGTTTATGGACGGTAGGAAATTTGATATAAAAAAACTGGATATTTCTGCATATAATCAACTGCCTGTTGAAATTTACTGCCAATTTCTTTTTCTTTCTATTCCATTCTTCCTCGACTGCCTGTTGAAATTTATTAAAATATTATGTTTGATTTATTTCCACATATTCAGCATGAATTGAGGTTGGCAAACTACACGGGAAATCATTTTTATGCCTTTTTGCATGCACAAGAATTTTTATTGAGGCATGCTTCATAGTTTGTTCGTTTGTTACGTCTGCAATTTAACATTTAAGGCTGGTTTGTAGGACTAATGAGAGTAGCTTACTCTTTGAAGGACTTCACTTAAGATTACAAATAAAATTTGACTATGATTTGCATAGGATACTCTTAGAAGCCACAGAAACCAACGCCCGGCTTACAATTCCCGCTTACTGTGAGTTCAGGTAGCTTCATTACCTGATTTGGTACCTAATTGTTGTAAAACAGGCTTAGCAATCATCAATTTAGATCTGGCAATTACGCTGAATGCTCATGTAGACTACAAATGCAGCATTCAGCTTCAGATTATCTCAAACTGACAATTTAAAGTCAGACTTACTAGAAATTCAGTATCAGGAAGATCACAGTCACTTGAAAGACGTCATATCCAACCAACCCCATTTCAACAACCTTTTTGTGACGTCTATGGCTGATTGAATGTTTGCAATAAGATTTTTTTAAGGGCAAAATTCACTTTTATTCCATCTCGTCCTCTCAAAACGCCTAAGGACGCGAACAAAAAAAAATGGCAAGCAAAAGTGGCTTTTATGTGCCCAAAATACACACACAATAAGAATAAAAAGTTTTGTTGTTAAAAAATCAATTTTTGTGCTCGCTCTACCCATGAAATGGCCTCGAGATATTTTTCCCATTGAATCGGATCAAAATATTTTGATGGAAATTCTCTATAATTCTCAAAAATGTGCCCCGGAATAGCCGAGAATGGCATTAAGACATTGACAAACAATGTAAAAGTAAAAAATAAGATCTTTAATGTCCATCAGCCGGAAAGAATGTCAGTTGAAATGTCCACTTTTGAGATTTTCATGCGTGAGAAAAAAATATTCAGAAGCTACAGCAGCAGCAGCAGCATTAGTCACTTTCTATGTTTTCAAAAAAAAAAAAATTCTAACCCTTTTTTGTGTGTCTGTCTAAAAAATAATTTTCATCTGGCGGCACCAAGAAGAATCTCAGTGTGATATCCGCAAAAGTAAATAGCAAAACGAAAGGATGAACTGGAACTGGACTTTATGATGTGAGAAAAACAAGAAGGAATGAAATAAATTAAAAATATTTAATGGACATCATATTTCATTTTATTCCGCATCAATTACATTATCCTTTTCTCATATGTCCTTCAAAAAGGCAGGCAGGAAAACAATGAATTTGCTTGCTTAGATTTCGATAAAGTCCAAGCAATTGTCCGAGCACTAAAAAGTCCCCCTATCTTACTTCCATACATCTCATAAAGAAAATAAATATAAAAAAAATCTAAAAAGACTGCAAATAGAATTAAAACCCTTCCTTTCTTCCGCTACCCTTCTTCTTTAAATACACATCTTCTTGTTCGTCTCCTGCTTATGCTTATTCTGAATGAATGGCATTAGATTCGACACGTTAATCGTTACGATGACCACATCTGATTAAATAATATTTTTTTTATTCAATTAAATTTAAGAATCTGGAAGTAAATTTACGTGAAAGATGGACATGGCAGATATGTCTATGTCCAAAAAAAGAAGATTTATTCTTCAGTTCATTATTATCAAGTTTCAGTTATTAATTGAGCATTATTAGAATTTTTTTAATTTGAAACTGGATTTAGAGTCTGTCGACCATTTTTTAGATTCAGCATATGCCCGCATCGTCATCAAAATAATAATGAATTTATTCACACATTGCAGCATGAGATTCAATAAATATCGAGTATTTAATTCCCTTCAAGTAGCCCAGAACCCTTTAGAAAATCCACAACAAAAGGATGATGACAGAAATAACATCCAACAAAATGCAATAATAAAAATGTGCAAAAAAGTGGAAGAATGAGTGACACAAAAATGCAATTGGAAACCTAATAAAGCATTTGAGAGATGATTCAATGGCAAACAATAATATATTGTGGATATTTCTGCTCAACTAAGTGTCCTTAATTTACATCTGTCTTATCCCTTTCATTCTTCGTCCGTACCACCAGTTGATTTTTTTTTCTATTTTGCAGCTTACTTAACTCTCAATTTTTATTTTGATGGATCAGGTTCCATACTATATGTATATATGTGAAGATGTCCCTAATCCTTTTTGTAAATAATTCTATGCCAATGAATTTGATCCCTTTTTTTTGTATCATTAACTTCTACTTCTTCTATGTCCATCTCTCTAATATTTGCTATAACTAATCTAAAAAGCAAATGTGTGTAAATTCAGAATCGATTATGATGTTGACTTGCATAAAAATTCTCCATCTATCCTTTGATGTGGCAATGTGCAATCAATAATAATACTTTATTGGTTCCCTCTTCAGAATTTCTATTTTTTCGGTCTTTTAGTTTTTGTTGTGGGTGCAGCTTTCAAATATTGTTACATATGTACACATATGCAATTGTTGCAGAATCATCATCATCGGGACTTTTGTGTTTATATAAAGGATGATGGGATGGATGGGAATATTAATTTATTTTTAAGCATCTGATGGGTTTTGTGGTTATTTTGAGGGACTTTTTGATGTAAATTTAATTTGTTTTATGTGCATTGGATGTACTTTATGTTGAATGATTTATGGAATTGAAATTAAAAATTAATTGAGTCTAGAGGAGCTACTGGGGAAGCTCGTAGGGTAGCTAGTATATAGTAGCTACTAGGGTAGCTAGTCTATGGTAGCTATTAAGGTATCTTCTATTTCTAGGTTAAGATAGCTAGTATATAGTAGCTACTAGGGTAGCTAGTCTATGGAAGCTATTAAGGTATCTTAACTACAAGAATCATGACCCCAAATCAACTCCAAAATATAATCCACGTGTGCATGTCCAAGAATGCATCAAAAACCAATTTGACAGCCACAAAGCTGAATCACACAGACACAAAAAACACAGACTTTATTACCAAGAAATGAAGAAATCTTTTTTTAATAACCGAATTTCATTTGCATTGAAATGTGAAAATTAGCACCTCGAAAGCAAGCTCGCAGTTCCGTAATTTTGCATATGTCCAACAATTTAGGTAATGAAATTGCAAATATTTCTTTTGTGTTGACTGTCAGACATGCCAACAAGAAGGCAATGAAAGAAAATAAAAAATTGCAACTTTTTAAGAAGATTGATGGATGTTCTTCAACTTTAAAAGGATTCTTTTTGTTGTCCCAATTCTTCCTATTAACCTTCTGTCTTGTTGTTCTACATTTTCATCTTTACTGCATTGCGAAATAATAGCAAAACAAAAAGTCGGTAATTCTGAATGAGGCCCAATGGCAAATTGGGAAGGAAGAAGATATAGAATTTTTTTTGGGTGAAAGAATTTTTCTAGGTCAACAAAGATGAGAAGCGTAGGATTATTGTAAACATATTTTGTGAAAGCATAACATTTGCCGACTCAAAAGAACATAAAACATTTACGGACAATGGAAATCCTTTTTTATTTTTATATTTTGAGAGTGAGCAGGTTGTCGGACGAGAAATAAAATCTTTTATATTTTTTTTGCTTTTTGCTTCTTGTGTGTGAAGAGAAATGGCAAAATATTTTCTATTGTTGCTGCTCTGGTAGCCTCTTATCCCTTCTAAATGTCAAAATATAAACCATCAAATGGGGTTGTCTGCTTGTGATGATCCATTAAGTAGCCAACAAGCAAATAAAAATTCCAATTCCTTAAAATTTCAATCAACATCATTTTTAAACGATCCCAAATAAGTATTCTGATTTTAATTTAATATCTTTTTTTTTCACAAGAAAAGAGTTGCAAGTCAGAGGTTTTTGGCTATAAGTAAATTTCAATATGTCAATGAGATTGCATTTCCTACCTTAGTAATGTGAAAAAAGGATTTAATAATAATTGAAATTGATATCATATGTATTATTGTGGGTACATGACTACGGATCATTGATGATGATGTGAAAAAATCATGGGAAAAAAATTTTATGTATGAAAAAAAAAATATCAATCAATAAAAAGGTATGAAAACAACCTGAAAAATTTTCATCTGCCCTCGCAAAAAAATTGAGTGAATCTTGAGAAATTTTTTTTGGGAATCAAATCCCATCCGGTATTTATGGAAGAAAGAAATTGAAAAAAGGATTTTTATTTTTTTGGAATAATAAGAATTATTTTTTTGATATCAAAAAAGGCACCTGTATTATTTTAGGCATCAAAAAATAATATATAAAATTGACTGATCCATTCGATCGTCAAAGCATTAATTCTATAGAATATTTAGAGCGAAAGAAGGTCGATCAAAAAAAAATAATAAAAATTATTGAATTTCAAGAATAAAGCTATTTCTGATGCAGTTCTAAGTAGAGAAAAAATGATTATTGCGAAAGGATAGAGTCCTTAACGATCTCTCTCAACCCCGCTGAGTTTTGTTAGTTGTGCTGCGTTGTAAAAACATAAAAACAGTTGTATGCTCGATGAATAGAAGAAAGGTATCATTGTGGGGATATTTAGTCGTTTATTACGTTCGAAAGAGACTAAAAGTCTCCAACAATAGAAAAAAAAGGAACGAGAGTAATTTAGCAGTAGCTCTAATAAAAATTCCCTTTAATGATTCCTGTTCAGTTTTAAAGCCATAAAAAAAAGTTATTGCCAATTTTCTATTGGAAGGAAGAAATCCCTTGCTGGGAATACACTCTTTTCATCGTCTTAAAAGAAATGTAGCAGTCATACAGAAGGGGTCAGGTAAAAAAACCCTTTTACACATTCAAACGTCTGCAGCAGCAGCAGTTTTTTTTTTTCGTCTTTAAATTGGAAAAGGTGCATTTTATCGTCGTCCCTCATTTATACATATCGTGCTTATATGACGTTATTAAAAAATATAAAAATAAAATAATGAATCCCGTCTCGAGAGCAACTCTCAATGGGTCTTTTGATTCCTTTATTATTATTTTTTTCTCAACTATGTTAAGAACTCCTTAATTCCACAAAAATATTTTGATTAATTTTTCTTCCTTTATTTATTATTACAAAAAAAAGAAATATTTTCAATAACAGAAATATTTCCAAATCTTGCAGGATCATTGCCACCAAGTCCAGCCGATAGCGGCGTTTCAGATGTAGATAGTTCAAGTAGTGGAAATGGCCAGCCAATTTGCAGTGATGAGATAAAAGCACGATTAGGATTATCTGGAACAACATCAACACCAAATCAATCACAACAACAGCAATTGCCACCACCACCGCCAGGAACATTCTTACATCCAAATTTCTATTCACAAGCACCATTGCGAAATTTATGGAACAATAGGAATGTTTCATGTAAGTACCATTTTTTTTGCAACCCCTCTAATATTCTATTACTGACTTTGTTGTATAATGGCGACGAAAAAACTTTTTTTGGGTAAACATGAAAAAATTGCATTTTTACGGATATTTGACGATTCTCACATGGAATCGAAAATATTCACAACTTCAAATATTTATCTAGCCACAGTTTATATTAAATTATCATCATACTTCTTTAAATATTTGGCTTTTTTTGCCAAATGTGAAAAATTTGCCGTTCTTCTTATCGTCATGGAGAATTTTTTTTGCTGTTACTTAATATGTGTATAATAAAGGAAGATGAAGCTACTAAAGATTAGATAAGGCTGCTTTATTATGTGAAAATTCACATGGAAATTTGAATGCTTTGTTATAAGTTTCCGTTAAAAAAATTCGAATTTACAACGATTAGCAGACAACTTCAAGTCATACTTTTTCATATGTTTGCATTAATTTAGAATTGTCTTAATTAAAGTAGTTTAACTAGTTAAAAGACATTCTAAATAAGTTCAAATCAGTAATAAGTATTGCCTTATTAAGTCAATTATGAAGTAAACTCAAAATTCACTACAATATTGCAACATTTTAAAGAGTTCGCTGACCAAAAATTGTCCATCAATCATTTGCACAAAAACAGTGACAAATTATCAGATTTTCCTGCTGCAAAATTAATTTTCACAGCGGCACAAATCTTAAATTTCATCTATAAATCTCTTGACGTTGTTACACGTCGAAATTTTTTTTATGCAGCCGAAAAGAAAAGTTATTTAAAGAATCAAAAAAAAAAGAATATTTTATGGCGGATGAAGATACTTTTTTTTACGTACAAAAAATTTCATTATAATTATAATTTTTCTTTTCGGATATGAGTGAATGAGTGAGCACCAAAAATGCGCCAGCTGGCAACGATAGTGAAAACACACAAAAATTCTTTCCTTTTTGTGTTCAAATTAAAATGAAGAAAATTTTACTTTTTTATATAGAACGTGAAAAATGCAAAATAATAATAATAAATGAATAGCACCCGCATTGTGAAAGTGAAATTTAGATCAACGCATTTGCGCTGCTAACAAAATATGTATCGTCGTCGTAGAAAAAGAAAAAGTGCGGGAAGAAAATACAAAAATATATTAAAAAGAGATTAAAAATACATTGCACTCTAGTATGAGTGAAGGAAAAATAAACTTGACATGTAGGAAAACCGCGAAAAATATTTTTTTGGCAACCATAAAACAAAAAAAAAGTTTTTCTCATGTGTGATTCAACATAACGATGAGAAAAACTTCTTTTTGTGTGTGCGGAAAATTTTGTCATCAACGCAGATGAAACTGAGTTGTTGAGAAAATTTTCTGTCGGCACAAATTGTGGTAGGCAGGAAGAGGAATGAGTCAGCGATGATTTATCGATAAGAAGATGATTCTTCCTAGTGAATGTCAAGGTTGACATATGTGAAGAATTTTTAACATTTGCAAACAACAAAAACAGTGGCACAGTTTCGAGATTTAGGCCGAATTAGTAGCGATTAACTTTGCATGTCCTCACTCATTTTATCCTTCATCCACGCAGCCTACTTCTTCCATCAAAAGATTTTTTACTTTCATGTAGAATAGTCACAACATGACATGATTAATCGATCAGTGCTGATGAAAATATGAAAAAAATAACAACAAAATATTTCACTCGTCGACGTCGTCGGCAAGAATGTTGTATAATGATGTTCATAAACATCCTGTCCTTGATGAAAATTTAAAATCAAAATAAGATTCTTGTTCAAACAATTTTCTCAGCTCTTCATAGCTTCAAGTCATAAAAGTAAAGAAAGTTTTTATTAGTCTATCGATTATGTCTGAATTAATACTTCATCGATAAAGTCTATAATGTTCTTCATCTTATTTGTTTGTGTGGCTTTGTTGCCTTCACTTGAGGCGCATGAATTTCGAACGATTTCTTCTGGAAAATTTCAATAATTTGTTAGCCATTTTAAAGCTTTTTGTTTTAGAGATTCTCTAGAAAATCATTAAAAGATCTCATAGTAGATAAGGAGTCTGAATTAGCATTCTGCCAAACTTCTAAGCAATTCATGATAGCTTCGAAGTTACTTCATGCAACTTAGAATCAAAATAGCTTAGCTTCGATTCCCAGTTGGATCAAGTCTATTTAATATTCAATCTAAAGTTCCTTTATCTTCAAATTCAAGCTCTAAGACTCTCTTTCAATAAAGCCTAAACAGCATTACATTCATTCATTTCCAATCGATAACTCAAGACCATTTTTATGTGAATTAATGTCACAAAATAAAAGAAATTACAAATGTGGGCCATTATTTTTGTGCTGTCCATTATTAAATGATTATGTTTATATCGATTGTATACAATTGAATTTCCCATGATGGCTGCAGCACTAGAAATAAAAATCAATTTTAATTTAGCATTTCCTCAATTGACATAATACAGATACACTGTGAATGACGAATGAAAAGAAGTCTACGAGAAAAATCGATGCGACCACCATGCAGAGTATATAGGTCGTAAATTGATTGAGAATAAGCTAGTCTTAAAGCCTTTTATTAACTCAATAAGGCATCTTGCTTTTTTAAAACAAAATAAGTAGGTAGGACAACGCGACACCTCTAATCAATTAAAATCCGACCCAAAAATATAGTCACATGAGTCGCTAATCTTCCTGTATACTGCCGATATGCTGTAAGAAAATAATAAATCTTTCCTGCTCTATTATTATCTTATGTACAGTCATTCCTTTCTTATTTTTTGCGAGATTTTCGAGATTATTTTTAGCTTAAGTCTCAAGTGTATATCTTTGCTGCCGTTTTCTTCTTCTCATGTTCAAGAAAAATGATCTTGAAAAAAAAAATAGCAAAAGAAATAGTTTTAAAAAATTTTGATGGAAAAATAAAACATCTCTTTTTGTCTTGTGAAATGATTAGGGGTTGAGGAAGGAATTTAAAGGTTAATATTTGATTAAAAACAGTCAGCACAAAGGAAATGAGAGAGTAAGAAAAATTCGGATTAATTATTTTCCTTAATTTTTCTGTGCTGTAGGAGAAAATAATCATTAAAAATTTAATGGGTATGAAATTCTTTTTGTGAAAATTGATAAGAAGAGTTTTATGGGATTTTTTTGGTCATTAAGTTTCAAATTGGTGAGATTCTTTTTAATTATACATTTTGAGGATTATTTGGATTTTTAACGGTTTTTGGTTTAAATTTTATAAATATGCAACACGTGGATAACTTCACGTTGAAGAAGAAAAATTTGAATTGTGGTCGTTAGAACATTATTCTTAACAATTATTGAAGCCAATTTCAAGTTGGATAAATAAATTCTTCGAAAATCATGAAATTTCAAATTTAACAGACAATTTTTCAAAAATCTAACGCCAACTTCATTGCTTACAACCCAATAATTCAAAAAATAACCGTTAACAATTTATTTTCCCATCAAAATTTCATTTCACAGTACGAAATTCTGACAAAATAATCCCAACATAAACCTTTCTTTTCCTCCTCACAAAAGGCACAAAATTAAAAGCGAAAATAAATCCTTCAAGGTTAAGCCGCTTTTCACTTTTTTTTTTACATCAATTTTTCCTTTTTTTAGAAACAAACAAGAAAGAATTATAGGAAAGTGATACGTTAAACATTTAAAAACACTCACAGTTGGAATGATTTTTGTGCTTGAAACATTCGATAAGAAGAGGAAGAAAAATAATGGAAAAGTTTTAGTTCTTCTTAGCTTAGCAGCTTTGTGTTGAGTAAGAAATTAGCGGAAGTCGAAAAGGAAAGGCAGAAAAAAAAACTTATTTTTTGTTATTTTCATTCTCTGTATAACATTTTTCACTCAACTTCACGACATGAAAGAATCAACGGAAAATTCATAAATTTATTTTGAAATAAATCGCATGTCGGAGATATTTTTTGCGTACATTAAGTTCAAGTGGAAGTGAAAACGTGCGTAAGAGAGTTACATGGCAGGCTGATTGCATATTCTGAGGTGATAAGAAGACAAAATAGATTGGAAATGATACCTGAAGTGCTGTTGATAGAGCTGTAGATTGATATTTGGATGTCAACTTCTTAAAAGCCCGTCCAAAACTCCTTTAGACAGGCCTTATTCCTCCTAAAGCCGTTAGACATATCAATTCATATTCAGACAATTGCCAACATCTCAAAATCAATCTCTATGACTTATCATAATCTTCATCTTATGCAGTCATACGTCTTCCTTCCACATGAGTCAATTGTCATGTATTACATAAGTGTGCATTGCCATGGTGACACAGCAACGACAAAAAGAAATTCTCAAGACACGTGGAATGTAATTTTTTTATATTTTTGGCAAAAAAAGGAAGAAGGAAGCTCCCTTAAAGCATAAAAGCAAGCATGAAGAATCGAAAAGCTGTCGTGTTGCTGCCACTGTTGATTTTCGCTTGAGCCATTTTCATTATCAAGGAAATTATTCTTTTTTTTTGTTCCGTTGTGCGCCAACCGATTCATGCCTACTCTAAAGTCGAGTTGATGAAAAAATAATGAGTCTCAGAACGTTTATTATGTGAGGTTTCTGTTGATTCTTGGTACTTGTACCGAAGAAATTTTTTTGGTAATTAGATTTCTTTCTTTACATCCAATAATTTTTTTCTTCTGTTTATTTTCGCATAAAAATTACATTTTTACTTTTTACCCTGAAGAATTTTTTGTTCCTCCTTCAAATTTTTTTTTCACTTCTTTTTCCTCATTTTTCATGTCTGAAGAAAATGTGTGATGATTAAAACAAGGCGCCAAATCTCTTTTTTTTCTGTTCAAACAAAATTCTCACGTCTATCAAAATTATTGAAAAATTACAATTGAATTTTTTTTTATTTTGTCTGGCATAAAGGTAGACTTTCGTTTGTTGTGGAATTGAATGTCGAAGTTAAAGTTGATTATAAATTCAACGGATTTTTGAAATTCAAAATTTTTTAAAATATATTTTAACTG